GTCTGTCCTCTGCTGCTGTCAAAACAGGTTGCTGTAGGAAGCTTTGGCCGACCAGCCATCTATACTGCCAACCGACCAATTATTAATGGCCGAGAGCTCAACAAATGGTCGATGACCATCCGGACATGGTCGGTGGGGTTTCCACTTGGTCGGTGGTGATACACAGTGTCCATGAAGCATACCTTGGGATTTGTGTAATTTTCAGAGGAGTAGAGCAGTGGAAACAGAGACAACTTGTGCATGGCAGTGGACTTCCGAGCGGAGCCGAGTGCGCATACATTGGGCCCTCTTCCCGAGGCTGCTTTTACTGTTTTATTAGCTTAGTTAATTGGCTTAACTAGTTAATTGTTGGTAATATTTAATTAGCTTGATAGTTAGTTAAATTATGTTATTCTTTTGGTCTCTCTGAGCAAGGGCGAATTTGTAATAAGTGTGGGTGCGTGTGTGCATGTCGTCCAACCCCCACTTCTTTCTCCCTTTTACTTACCTGCTTTTAATTATGATATCATGTAATAATATTAAGTAATAAGAAATCTTATATTATGTGTGCATCATTCATCGGCATTGCATGCACCGGGCTCGGCGCATCATGCTAACTGCATAAGTATTTCAAATCTAACTTGAATATGTGCATCTAATGGTTGCATTTCACATGCCATCCTAGGATTAGCCGAGCCTATCCTAATTGCATCCTGTATGCGTTGCATTAGGCACTTAACATGGACTTGGATCATACATTGATTGCTAACGAGTTCTTTGTTTTGGCTTGGAGTACACTGTAAGTATTTTGTGCTTTAGCATTTCGCATGAGTGTGAATGTTGCCATGATAGCATGCTTACCATGAGGCTATGTGCTTATGTGATATATCTGCCTGAGTGTCTGTGGGTGAAGGTTGGATTATCTAAATTGGAATAATGCATTAACTATGAGTTTTAAGCCCACTAGATAGTGGCAAAACCATCTTTTCTAAGCCCACTCGAGGGTGGCAAAACCCGCATTTTAGCCTACTTGCAAGTGGCAAACCATTTTCAAAACAAACATGAAATGTTTTGTTCCAATTCAGGCGATCCAGTCTATACTTGTATACTGTGCGCATCACATAGTAAACCTAGGCTAATAACCGGAATAAGAACGCATAATGTTTTCAAAACTGGATATCATGGTTAGTAGAGGTCGATCTTCGGATCGGGCGAGAAGAGGTGCTCATAGCTGACCTTCCCCAATCGTACCCAAGTTCCTGAGCCGAGGCAACTTTGGTGATGACAGACACATGGCTTTAGGCAAACGAGTCAGGGTTTCCTAAATTCTCCCAAAATAAAATATTTAGGTGGCGACTCTGTATCTGGCAAAGCAGTCCATGTTTGGCACTTCTTTACAAAAATCAGTTTTCCAAAATGATTTGCTGGATTTGGACTCTTTGACGATTCATCGGTCTTGTATTGCACTCTGCGAGATTAGATACAGGACCGTGACATTGAGCCCGAACTGTAGTGAGCCCAATATGAACAAAACGGGCGATTCATCCTCCCGGGACGTTCGGGGATGTCTACACGGTGGTCTAGTGACAATGGACTAAAATTAGAAACAAAATTCTTTCAAAACAATTTTTTTTTCCCTTTCGCACCAAACAATTTTTTTTATATGTTCTTATCACAAAAAATTATTAAAGCTTTTACAAAATGACATATGACTCATAGGTGTGTATTTTTCACACTACAAAAAAATTCACTTATAATAGCGGCCAAAACTGTCACTAAAAGCAAGAAAAAGCGTCGCTAAAAACTAGAATATCTTTACCTACGGTTGCAATAACGGCGGCCAAACCGCCACAATAGCCCCGTCAGCATAGCCTTATAGTGACGTTTTTGTGAAACACTAGTATAATTTTTTTTATTGCGACGGTTGCTGTAGCAACGTTTATAAATGTCACTATCTCTTAAATTTAACCATTACTTGGTAACTTTATAGCGACAAGTTAACTGCTACTATATCCTTCGCTTTTGCAACACTTTGTGAACCGCTTCTATATTTTGACTTTATTCCATCAGTTTTACACTGTCGCTATAGCCATAGATTTTTTTTTGAATTTTATTTGCAGCGACGATTATTAACCGTGATTATATGCTATGTTTACTATGCAATTACCAATAATATATAGCTTGAAATTTTCAATGGTTTGGTAACCATTAATTATTGTCTCTCACTTATCCCTGCTCACATTATATATCTATAAAAGCACTATTTTATTCTAATAGCTCAATACTCAATAATTGTAAAAGATAAAATAGTTTGCATTTTCATAATCCCAAAATATCCAAAACACCTTAATTAAAAGGTTCATTACATAAGCTTGTCATACCAAAATAGATCAAATATTTCTAGCAAACTAATAGCCACACCATAATCCAAAAGGTACATATAAACTTGTCACATGACAATAGTACTCAAAAATATTACTCATGATGCCATTTTATAAAGACCTCCATGAAAAATGTTCAAATCGAGAAATGACGTCCATTGTTTGATGCTTTCATATTGTCTTATTTCCTGCAATAAAAATAATTGAATGAGCATAAGTATCATTTTCAATTTTAAAATCTATAAAGAAAATTTAGATTACAAATAATTCTTGATAAGTCTTATTTTTTTTGGGTAAGTATGCGGTTTACATATCAAAAAATAAAGATTACAATGAAGTTGAAGATCATGTTTGCATATTATTTTTTATCAGCCAAATAGAGCACTCTTTATTATAGATAAAGGAGAAATATAACAACCAAAAAGGAAGAGCGAGATTGCATCATAGCGAACCTAACTCATCCCAACTAGGTTGGCACGAGGAGGACTGCAAAATCACGTGCAAGCATAATCAAGAGAAACAAAAGGGTTGGCAAGAGATACCAACCACAACAAAAGGAAGGAAATAAAAAGATACAAAGAAATTACACACCACCTTTATCACTCCATATATTCCAGGTTCACTCTAAACACACCAAACCCAACACCACCTAAGCTTCCATAAAGCATCACAAAAGCCAAACAAACAAAGTAGCAATGAAACCCACTCCATACCAGCCAAAAAAATTCTGCATTATGATGAAACCCACCCCTCTCTGTTTTCTTCCTATGTTTTATGTTTTCTTTTAAACCCAACAAAAAAAACTCTGCATTAGTTCTTGGCGTTGTTCTTTAAGCACTGCAAGTTGATCTCTCTAATTAGATATGCTTGAAGACATCTAAAGGGCTTAGAACATGTAAGCAAGCAACTAACAGGTTGACATTTTGACTGAATCAGCCAATAAAGCCAAACATTAGTAGCAGCCACCAAATCAAGCAACCATTAGCAACATCCAAGGGTCTATTTTTAATTGTATATTACAGTTTGATACGTTACTGATATTCAAATTTGTTCGATTGCCCTGGTTTGTTTAGTATTTTTATGGATGCCAATAAAGGAAGCAAAGTATAAAAGTCAATAATCCCAATTTTGTCCAAACTGACTAACAATTTATTGGTAAAGAAGCCATTAACAGTGGGTCTAAATTTTGTGTCAATGTATGTGTATTGTAACGATTACTTACCCTGATTAGAAGGTTGCATTTCATGACTCCCAAAAGAGGATCTTTGATGTGTTTGTGGAGAAGCCTGGCCCAAAATGCCACAAGATCCATTTGTCGTCTAATTTATACAATAAAATTTACATAAGTACGCATAAATATAGAAAAGGATAACATATGATAAATACATCATATAAAATTACAAAACAAAAATGCAGTAATTAGGTTCACAGATTTCACAGATTTCAGTTCCTGTTTGAAATTGAATCAAACCATTTCTATATATACACATATATAGACATTTAGTCTAGACACTACAAACTCATTTACCCAAAAGTTGCAGCTCTTTTCAGGGATTGTATTTTCAAACACAAAAGACAATGAGAACTTTGAAAACATTCACCTTTGGGAATCAAACACAAAAAACAATGAGAACTTTGAAAACATTCACCTTTGGGAATCAAACACAAAAAACAATGAGAACTTTGAAAACATTCATCCTTGGGAATCAATTTAAACCAAACTGAGTAGCACATCAATGGGGACCAAAATGGTGGAAGAAAAGAGATGAAAATCAACAGCACATGTAATGCCTCAAAAATTTGTTGTTGAAATTCTGATTGTCGGGTTAAATAATTGTACAAACTCGAATTACCTATCACTAATTGATCCCCAAAAAAATACAACTGTTGGGGAGAAAACAAAAAACCTGCTTTAAAATTAATTCACATACAACCCAAAATGGTGAAATGAGAAGAGAGAACAAACATAACATCTTAATCTGGATTATTATTTTCCTTTCACCCAATCAATTCATTGATCTACTTCCCCTCCATTACACCACTGCTGACATAAAATCAGAAATATAGTTACCAAGCATCCATATCCAATAAATAATAACTGTCATTAACATACAAATTGGGGTTTTGGTAGCATAAATCAAATATAACAAACGAAATTCCTGTATCCACGATCTAAAAGGTTGTATCAACAGTCACCCCTCATACATACCTCACATGTCCGGTGGCCAAACATATGAGAGGACTATCAACGCAGATATTAAGTTTGTGGGTTTTGTCCCACCCAAATCGGAAAATAAAACCACATGTATAGATCCTAGAACAAACCTCACCACCAAATATAAAATCTACATACTTTAAACAAAGGGACATAGGAAGACCGTTAAGGCTTGATTATTTATCTGACAACATCAACTAAACAGCCATAGAAATTATAAGCACATAATCTCTGACTAATGCAGCCTATACCAAACTCAATAGCACACCAGTAGTGATCATGACAGAATTATTAAACATGCTCATGTTTTAGAATGATAAACAGTTTGACTCACACTCTTTAATAGATGAAATCATGAGAACTAGTCAAAGGAAAACATGGTGAAGCATCAATGTAGTATGTAGAGGTTAGAACTGTACCAATCACTAACAATTGAGCTATTCAGCAGAAAAGATGGTATATTCAATCTGTAAGGTCAACTTCCTCGTCAAGAATTGCTTGTGGGAAGTGAGTGAAGGCCAATATTACTTCAGTTTTGCTCTCTCATTTTGTATAAGAACCACCCAAGTAAAAAACAGAACTCAAACTACTCAAGTATTGAATCAAAACTCAGTTCTTGAATCAAACCTCGGTTCCTTGTGGTCACCCCTTGTGTCCATAATGAATGCGTATACGTCTGTCATCACCCCTTGTGTCCATAATGAATGCGTATACGTCTGCCATCCAATAACTAAAATGAAGCATAAGACAGAATTGAGATATAATAATACTGTTGATGGAAAAAAGAAAAAGAAAAAAAAAAAAAACCTAGTTACCTCATATTTATAACAAAGTGACAATGTCAAGTCACTCAAAATGTACCTGACCATCCATTTCCCTCAAGGCTGTACCGGCTGCAGTCTCAGAATTGAACTGCACAAACCCATATCCTTTTGATTTTCCAGTCACGTGATCATATATAACTTTCACTACTGAGTATGACAATGTAAATTGCCTTAAATGAATTTCACATGTATATATAGAATCATAAGGATATTGTGAGTCTATGTCACATCACCTTCAATTATTTCACCATGCTGTCCAAAAGCATCCTTGAGAACACTTTCATTGGTATCATAAGAAAGCCCTGCAACCAAAGCACGTATTGCTCACACAACTTGGTTTTAAATTCTAATACTAAGTTTAGGAAGGTAGTAATAAGAACAAGGCCACTTTATAATTGTTGTTTTATTACCAAAGAATTATAGCATCCACTGCTCTCCTTTTCTACAAAGCACATGTAATACATTATTCAGGATATTGCTGCATTTTTACTCATTTAAACACAAAATCAGTATCACCACTGTACAAATATTACTCACATTAACAGTATCAAAAATAATCTATGAATTTGGAAATTGTTGAGCTTTCTTTACAAGAAGCATCTTTTTAGGCAATCAACAAGAAGATTGCTAGCAACCCTCAGCATAAAGAAAACTCACAGATAAAATTAGGCAATCTCACTTCTCTAAAATTCACTACTACCATGGTTTGTTTTCAAAATGACCGTCAGTCCATTATCTATCTTGAAACAACTTAAAACCACCTTGCCACCATTTCCACCGTGACCACTGCCCACTTCTCAACCTGCACCCTTGTTGCCTAATCATAAATGCTAATTGATCCTTCAATGTCAGTCAATTTGTTTTACACCCACTAATTTATCCCCCCCCCCAAAAAAAAAAAAATTGTTTTACACCCACTATTCAGATTTATTTTAGCAGCTTGCCCCTAAATCTTTCTCTAAACTCTGTAGGCATTTATGGATGTGAATCATGTGATAATAGCCCATCTATAGCAGCATTTTTTAGACCGCTGCAATAAAAAACGCTGCTAAAATTTGATTTTCTTATAGTGTCATCAATTATTATTATTTTTATTAGGAGAAGGAAATCTATGAAATTCATCGAGTGACAAACACTGCCATTCTCTCTGGAAGTACTCAATTGATAGAAAAATTATATCCTGATCTAAGAGTATCACGTGATTTTGCCCCTGACTAGTTATATTTCATTATGTCTCCTCTTATTATTCAATCAGTCAATACAAAATCATGAATTACATCATCATCATCATCAATTATCATGCAATACCACGTAGCCGGGCCAAGGATAACCAAATAACGTCTCTAATTGATAGCCACAGAAGTACATGCAACTCACATGCAATGGCACAATATTCTAGAGAATTTTGCTTTCCCTAGAACTTCTTTTCTTTTTCCTTGTCTCTAGTGCTTTACAAAGGAAAATTATTCTTCCACGTCAAAATCATCAAATTCAATAAACATATGGTATGCTGATATCTTAAGCTGAGTAAATTTTCCATGCGAGGAAGGTATGATTATGGTGGGGGTACGTTTGTCCTTTTTCTTTATTGGTTTTGATAATGAGCTCCATCTATTTTTTGTTTGGCTAATAATTTTTCATGTTGAGCAAAATATGTATAGACAAAAACATATTGAGGCCCATATAGTATATATCAGTTACATTTGATAATAAAATATCATACGTAGGACCAGCCTTAGACATGGATGGGCAAGGTGTCCGCCTAAGATTCTAAATTTTCTAAAAATTTATGTTTGAAAATAATTTGGCTCTTATTCTAAATTAAATAATTTGGCTCTTATTCAAAAATCTTTACTTTATGTTCATCAATTTACTAAAGATAATAATGTCTTTTTTGAATTTTATCTATCTCATTTTTTGGTTAAGGATCAACTCACAAAGAAAACTCTACTACAAGGCAAGAATGAAGGTGCTCTTTACAGGCTCTCTCTAACCCCATCTCTGTAACAATCCCAACCTGTGATTAGCCGATAAACCATGATTAAATATGCCTAATAAGTAATTAAGATGAAATTCTGAATTAATTGCATTTGTATTGCATTATTTGTGTTTATATATGTCTGCTGTAGGAATATTTGTTTGTCTTTCTATCTTCTTCGGCGAATTGAAGGCCTTATTGGCATCCGAACACGAAATTGACATAGTATATGTGTTATTTAGAATTTTTAGAAAATTACAATAGGTTTAATTGAAATTTGATTCAGAACGAATTAAATTAGATTAATTAATGTCAATTCGATTAGCTTAAGTTGAGTTTAATTAAGCTTAATTATGCCAAGCCTCTATAAGGCAACTTGTTGACTTAGGATCATTAGATACACTTTCTTTTCCTCATTTTTGAGCTCAAAACGTAGAGAGAGAATGAGAGAATTGGAGATCAACATTAGGAGAAGAGGATTTGAAGGGAATTAACTGGGAATCTAGCTAAAGACTTGAGAATTGGAAGAGATAGCCTAGGGTTCTTGCCAAATCAAAACTTTAGGTGAGTAATCAACCCCTAACTTTGTGATTAAGTCATGAATTGTTAGAAAGCATGGAGAATAGTAGTTTGAGCATGAGAATTGAACATAGTATGTAGAAATGAAATCATTCCACGCATGCATAATTCATGGATTTTAAGTTTTAATTCTAACAAATTCATACATGCAAGAGCTTGTTTTTGTTATATTATGAGAGCTCACTATGGTTTTATACTTAAACACTTCATTTGTACATGTTATACAAGTTTTGAGTTCCTAGCATTACATGCATGTATAGTACATCAATTTCAAGTTTGATTTTGCAAGAATTGACATGTTCTTGGGCTTGATTTTGCGAAATGATCTTCAATTCATGATATCCTATAGGTTTCTAAATATTCTCTTGATTTTTTTCCCAAAAGGATGAGTTTTGATGTGTTAAACTTGTGTTTTGAAGCTTAGAAGCGAATCTGGAAATTTTAGAAGTCAACTTCTCCACTAGAGCGACAGAACCTGCGCTCAAGTGACCACACTTGATTTTGCACTTCCGCTCGAGCGACCAGAGTTGAGCTCAAGCGAAGACCTCAGTCTCACGCTCGAGCGATTGTTGAGCGTGTGTCGAGCGAAAAAATAAAGCAACTAGTACTTTTGCAAAATTTACAGACTACTCGAGTGACGAAAGTTACACTCGAGTGACCACCCTTATTTTTGAACCTCCGCTCAAGTGAAGGAAGTTGCGTTCGAACGAAGACCCTGTTTTCGGCAATTTTGACCAAGTGTTTTGAATCACATTTCGGCATCTTCATTGCATCTTAGGCAATCATAAGCCCTAATTAAGACATAGTAATGAGGACGAAGGCTAGAAACACGCTAAGAACGAAACAAAATAAATTGTATACTATCTGAATGTGTGTTTCAATATGTGTATCTATTATGTTATAGGTCACGCGCCGTGAGCTATCAGGTTTTCCGTTCCATTCTGTGAGTAATAACTTTGTAAAGCTATGTTTAATTTATATGTATTTTCTGAATGATATAAGATGATCTATTTTCTGAAATATTATTTTTTGTATGAATGAATGGTTGTCCAATGTCTCTGAAATGTACTTGTGGCGTCATTAGCTTCAGATGACATCTATTATCTGTTTTGTTATGTCCCAATTATGGGTCAACTGTACGTCTCATGAGCCAACTGTTATGGATCCTTCTGTATGTGTCCCATTTATGGACCAACTATACGTTTCATGAGCCAATTATACCGTCTTCGTGCACGTGAGTCAATTGTATACCTTCATGGTCGTTCCTTTATGGGTCAACTATTTCTACTAGTGCTAATGAATGTATCACGTATGATTAATTGCAAACTCTGATTATGAATATGATTATGAATCTGTTTTTGTTATGAATTCTGATTTTTGAACATGATTATAAAATCCATATCTGTTAACTACTGAATCAAATTTCTGTAATTGTTATGGACAACGTTCATTAAACCCTTTACCTTGTTATTATTCACTGGGCTCCAGCTCACTATATTATTTATGTATGTAGGTGAGCAAGCGCGTGACCAGGCCTAAGCTACCGCCTGGAGAGTTTCGTTTTTGTCGGCCAACCATTGTGCCTCCCAAGGAGGTTCCGAAAATAGTCAAGTGGTCGTGTTTTGATTATGTATAAGACTTAATTTTCTTTTTGGAACATGAAAAAGCTTATGTTTATCTGTATATTAGGCTAAGTCCCCTTTTGACTTTATCAGTATAAATGGGTGACGTAAGACTACTATATTTATGACGTCACGTATATGTATATAAAGTTTTGCAAGGATTAATCCAAGGATTAATGGCCGATTACGACGCTAGACCTATAGGGGTGGGTTTGGGTCGTAATACAGTGGTATCAAAGCACGTGTTATACTGCACACACGAGTCCATATAAGCTATAGGATGTCCTAGAAAGAAGTAGGGACATTTCATCTGCATGTGTGCGTATGCGTGCTAATTTCTATAAATGTAAAAACTAAATCTGGACATAAACATATAAATTGAAAGAATGAACTGAACTGAATACTCTGAATACTGTGAACAAGATTATTCCTATGTTTATTATTGCCTTGTTTACCTATAGCAAAATGGATAGTACAAGAAGTGATGGTACAACCGAATCCTCAGAGGGCCGAATGAGTCGAATGAAACAGATGCTTGAAGCCTTAACAGCATCAATGATGCAGCAACAAAGATAACAACCTCTGCCTCCTCTGCCCCCTTCGGTCCAAACTGAACCGGAAAACAACGATATCATTAGCTTCACTCCGAAATTCACAAAAATGAAGCTACCAGCCTTCTTGGGTGGCATTGAGTCGTTGAAAGCCGAGACACGGATACTAGAAATAGAGAAAATGTTCGAAGTATTCCCTTGTTTTGAAACCCAAAAAGTTCTATTGGATACTTATACCCTCAAAAAATAGGCTAGATGTTGGTGGATGCTCATCCGAAACGACAATGGGTCTATGACTTGGATCCAATTCAGAGAAATTTTCTATGAAAAATATTTCTCTCAATGTTACCGGGATAGAAAGGTGTTTGAATTTCAGGAACTCAAGCAAGGCAATATGCCCGTAGCAGAGTATCCGCCCAAGCACTTCACCTTAGGGTGCCCTAGTCCTATTTGTTAAGAAGAAAGATAGGTCTTTAAGGCTATGTATTAACTACCGTGAATTGAACAAAGTAACCGTGAAAAACAAATATCCATTGCCCTGAATAGATGATCTGTTTGACCAACTTCAGGGAGCACAAGTATTCTCTAAAATAGATCTTAGATCCGAGTCTCACCAGTTAAAGGTCAAGACAGAAAACATAGAGAAAATTGCATTCAAAACTAGATACGGGCACTATGAATTTTTGGTAATGCCATTTAGGGTAACTAATGCACCTGCGACGTTCATGGATTTAATGAATCAGGTGTTCAAACAATTTCTTAATGAATTTATTGTTGTATTTATTGATGATACACTGATTTACTCCAAAAGCAGGGAAGAACATGAAAATCATCTGAGAATTGCCTTACAAATCCTGAGAGAAAAGAAATTGTATGCAAAACTTTTCAAATGTGAATTTTGGCTTGACAGTGTAGCATTTCTGGGACATGTGATCAACAAGGATGGTATATCAATGGATCCACAGAAAATTGA